GAAGGGGAGATACAGGAGAGGCTCAGGGTGCAGGGAAGAGGAGCCGCAGGAGAGGCTCAGAGTGCAGGGAAGGGGAGCCACAGGAGAGGGTCGGGGTGCAGGGAAGGGGAGCCACAGGAGAGGGTCGGGGTGCAGGGAAGGGGAGCCACAGGAGAGAGTCGGGGTGCAGGGAAGGGGAGCCGCAGGAGAGGGTCGGGGGGCAGGGAAGGGGAGCCACAGGAGAGGGTCGGGGGGCAGAGAAGGGGAGCCACAGGAGAGGGTCGGGGTGCAGGGAAGGGGAGCCACAGGAGAGGGTCGGCGGGCAGAGAAGGGGAGCCAAAGGAGAGGGTCGGGGTGCAGGGAAGGGGAGCCACAGGAGAGGGTCGGGGGGCAGGGAAGGGTAGCCTCAGGAGAGGCTCAGGGTGCAGGGAAGGGGAGCCACAGGAGAGGGTCGGGGTGCGGGGAAGGGGAGCCGCTGGAGAGCGTCGGGGTGCGGGGAAGGGGAGCCGCAGGAGAGGCTCAGAGTGCAGGGAAGGGGAGCCGCAGGAGAGGCTCAGAGTGCAGGGAAGGGGAGCCACAGAAGAGGGTCGGGGTGCAGGGAAGGGGAGCCACAGGAGAGGGTCGGGGTGCAGGGAAGGGGAGCCACAGGAGAGGCTCAGGGTGCAGGGAAGGGGAGCCACGAGAGAGGGGCGGGGTGCAGGGAAGGGGAGCCACAGGAGAGGGTCGGGGTGCAGGGAAGGGGAGCAACAGTAGAGGCTCAGGGTGCAGGGAAGGGGAGCCACAGGAGAGGGTCGGGGGGCAGGGAAGGGGAGCCGCAGGAGAAGGTCGGGGTGCAGGGAAGGGGAGCCACAGGAGAGGGTCGGGGGGCAGGGAAGGGGAGCCGCAGGAGATGGTCGGGGTGCAGGGAAGGGGAGCCACAGGAGAGGGGCGGGGTGCAGGGAAGGGGAGCCGCAGGAGAGGCTCAGGGTGCAGGGAAGGGGAGCCGCAGGAGAGGCTCAGGGTGCAGGGAAGGGGAGCCGCAGGAGAGGCTCAGGGTGCAGGGAAGGGGAGCCGCAGAAGAGGGTCGGGGTGCAGGGAAGGGGAGCCGCAGGAGATGGTCGGGGTGCAGTGAAGGGGAGCCACAGGAGATGCTCAGAGTGCAGGGAAGGGGAGCCGCAGGAGAGGCTCAGGGTGCAGGGAAGGAGAGCCGCAGGAGAGGCTCAGAGTGCAGGGAAGGGGAGCCGCAGGAGAGGCTCAGGGTGCAGGGAAGGGGAGCCGCAGGAGAGGCTCAGGGTGCAGGGAAGGGGAGCCACAGGAGAGGGTCGGGGTGCAGGGAAGGGGAGCCACAGGAGAGGCTCATGGTGCGAGGAAGGGGAGCCGCAGGAGAGGCTCAGGGTGCAGGGAAGGGGAGCCGCAGGAGAGGGTCGGGGTGCAGGGAAAGGGAGCCGCAGGAGAGGCTCAGGGTGCAGAGAAGGGGAGCCACAGGAGAGGGTCAGGGTGCAGGGAAGGGGAGCCGCAGGAGAGGGTCGGGGTGCAGGGAAGGTGAGCCGCAGGAGAGGCTCATGGTGCGAGGAAGGGGAGCCGCAGGAGAGGCTCAGGGTGCAGGGAAGGAGAGCCGCAGGAGAGGCTCATGGTGCGAGGAAGGGGAGCCGCAGGAGAGGCTCATGGTGCGAGGAAGGGGAGCCGCAGGAGAGGCTCAGAATGCAGGGAAGGGGAGCCGCAGGAGAGGCTCAGGGTGCAGGGAAGGTGAGCCGCAGGAGAGGCTCAGGGTGCAGGGAAGGGGAGCCGCAGGAGAGGCTCAGAGTGCAGGGAAGGGGAGCCACAGGAGAGGCTCAGAATGCAGGGAAGGGGAGCCGCAGGAGAGGCTCAGGGTGCAGGGAAGGAGAGCCGCAGGAGAGGCTCAGGGTGCAGGGAAGGGGAGCCGCAGGAGCGGGTCGGGGTGCAGGGAAGGGGAGCCACAGGAGAGGCTCATGGTGCGAGGAAGGGGAGCCGCAGGAGAGGCTCAGGGTGCAGGGAAGGAGAGCCGCAGGAGAGGCTCATGGTGCGAGGAAGGGGAGCCGCAGGAGAGGCTCATGGTGCGAGGAAGGGGAGCCGCAGGAGAGGCTCAGAATGCAGGGAAGGGGAGCCGCAGGAGAGGCTCAGGGTGCAGGGAAGGAGAGCCGCAGGAGAGGCTCAGGGTGCAGGGAAGGGGAGCCGCAGGAGAGGCTCAGAGTGCAGGGAAGGGGAGCCACAGGAGAGGCTCAGAATGCAGGGAAGGGGAGCCGCAGGAGAGGCTCAGGGTGCAGGGAAGGAGAGCCGCAGGAGAGGCTCAGGGTGCAGGGAAGGGGAGCCGCAGGAGCGGGTCGGGGTGCAGGGAAGGGGAGCCACAGGAGAGGCTCATGGTGCGAGGAAGGGGAGCCGCAGGAGAGGCTCAGAGTGCAGGGAAAGGGAGCCGCAGGAGAGGGTCGGGGTGCAGGGAAGGGGAGCCGCAGGAGAGGCTCAGGGTGCAGGGAAGGGGAGCCGCAGGAGAGGCTCAGGGTGCAGGGAAGGGGAGCCGCAGGAGAGGCTCAGAGTGCAGGGAAGGGGAGCCACAGGAGAGGGTCGGGGTGCAGGGAAGGGGAGCCACAGGAGAGGGTCAGGGTGCAGGGAAGGGGAGCCACAGGAGAGGGTCAGGGTGCAGGGAAGGGGAGCCGCAGGAGAGGGTCGGGGTGCAGGGAAGGGGAGCCGCAGGAGTGGGTCGGGGTGCAGGGAAGGGGAGCCGCAGGAGAGGCTCAGCGTGCAGGCAAGGGGAGCCACAGGAGAGGGTCGGGGTGCAGGGAAGGGGAGCCGCAGGAGAGGCTCAGGGTGCAGGGAAGGGGAGCCACAGGAGAGGGTCGGGGTGCAGGGAAAGGGAGCCACAGGAGAGAGTCGGGGTGCAGGGAAGGGGAGCCGCAGGAGAGGGTCCGGGGGCAGGGAAGGGGAGCCACAGGAGAGGGTCGGGGTGCAGGGAAGGGGAACCACAGGAGAGGCTCACGGTGCGAGGAAGGGGAGCCGCTGGAGAGGCTCAGAGTGCAGGGAAAGGGAGCCGCAGGAGAGGGTCGGGGTGCAGGGAAGGGGAGCCGCAGGAGAGGCTCAGAGTGCAGGGAAGGGGAGCCACAGGAGAGGGTTGGGGTGCAGGGAAGGGGAGCCACAGGAGAGGGTCGGAGTGCAGGGATGGGGAGCCACAGGAGAGAGTCGGGGTACAGGGAAGGGGAGCCGCAGGAGAGTGTCGGGGGGCAGGGTAGGGGAGCCACAGGAGAGGGTCGGGGGGCAGGGAAGGGGAGCCACAGGAGAGGGTCGGGGTGCAGGGAAGGGGAGCCACAGGAGAGGGTCGGGGGGCAGGGAAGGGGAGCCAAAGGAGAGGGTCTGGGTGCAGGGAAGGGGAGCCACAGGAGAGGGTCGGGGGGCAGGGAAGGGGAGCCACAGGAGAGGGTCGGGGTGCGGGGAAGGGGAGCCACAGGAGAGAGTCGGGTGCAGGGAAGGGGAGCCGCAGGAGAGGGTCGGGGGGCAGGGAAGGGGAGCCACAGGAGAGGGTCGGGGTGCAGGGAAGTTGAGCCACAGGAGAGGGTCAGTGTGCAGGGAAGGGGAGCCACAGGAGAGGGTCAGGGTGCAGGGAAGGGGAGCCACAGGAGAGGGTCAGGTTGCAGGGAAGGGGAGCCACAGGAGAGGGTCGGGGTGCAGGGAAGGGGAGCCACAGGAGAGGGTCGGGGTGCAGGGAAGGGGAGCCACAGGAGAGGGTCAGGGTGCAGGGAAGGGGAGCCACAGGAGAGGGTCGGGGTGCAGGGAAGGGGAGCCACAGGAGAGGGTCGGGGTGCAGGGAAGGGGAGCCACAGGAGAGGGTCGGGGTGCAGGGAAGGGGAGCCGCAGGAGAGGGTCGGGGGGCAGGGAAGGGGAGCCGCAGGAGAGGGTCGGGGTGCAGGGAAGGGGAGCCACAGGAGAGGGTCGGGGTGCAGGGAAGGGGAGCCGCAGGAGAGGGTCGGGGGGCAGGGAAGGGGAGCCACAGGAGAGGGTCGGGGTGCAGGGAAGGGGAGCCGCAGGAGAGGGTCGGGGTGCAGGGAAGGGGAGCCACAGGAGAGGGTCGGGGTGCAGGGAAGGGGAGCCACAGGAGAGGGTCGGGGTGCAGGGAAGGGGAGTCACAGGAGAGGGTCGGGGTGCAGGGAAGGGGAGCCACAGGAGAGGGTCGGGGATGGTAGACGACGACACGCAGGTCGTGGCGAGGGATGACAAGTTATCTGCACATATCCTTCCGGATGCCATACTGTTATTATTTTAACTGGTAACGTTATCTCTTGACATTTAAAATGTCGCTCGGTGTTATCAACGCTGATGTTAGCTGCTACTTGTTGCCCGCTGTGTGCACCATGTGTGTTGTCCCACTCTGTGTCTCCTGTTGGTACACACCATGTGTGTTGGTCCCGCTCTGTGTCCCCTGTTGGTACACACCATGTGTGTTGGTCCCACTCTGTGTCCCCTGTTGGTACACACCATGTGTGTTGGTCCCACTCTGTGTCTCCTGTTGGTACACACCATGTGTGTTGGCCCCACTCTGTGTCTCCTGTTGGTACACACCATGTGTGTTGGTCCCACTCTGTGTCTCCTGTTGGTACACACCATGTGTGTTGGCCCCACTCTGTGTCTCCTGTTGGTACACACAATTATGAGTGACTTATGAGTGATTATGAGCGACAAAGGGAGAGGGGGGCCTGACGGCTGAATGGGCAGCGCTCGGGTTTCGTAGTCTTAAGGTTCCGGGTTCGATCCCCGGTGGAGGCGTAAGCAAATGGGCAGAATTTCTTTCATCCTGATGCCTCTGTTTACCTACCAGTAAATAGGTACATGGGAGTTAGACAGCTGCTACGGGCTGTTTCCTGGGGGGGGGGGGTTGTAACAAAAAACAGGCCTGGTCGAGGACCGGGCCGTGGGGACGCTAAGCCTCGAAATCATCTCAAGATATCCACAAGATAATCATAGTTTAGAATGCCTCAAGATGAGAGTTGTTCCCAGACGTTACCTCCATATATGAGGATATCTGTTCATGTTTGGAGATGATTAATAGACGAAAAGAGGCCGGTAAGATAAAGACATTAATAACATTCCTTGGAGATAAGGAGGAAAAAGTCAGACCTTATGTCTCTGCCCCGGATCTTCTCTGGGCGTGTTTCAACACATTGAAGGTCGTGGGCAGGTCCGAACGAAGAATAGTTATGGCTGAGACTCCCAGAAGGACCAGGAGCTGCACTCGAATGAAGACGGATTCACCAGGATGGCTGAAAGATGAGCTGAGGGCATGACACATGCCGGGGACCGGGAGCTGGAGCCACCGAGGCGGTCGTCAAGAGGACGGCGTTACTTCAGGAGCAGTGCCTAAGGAAGTGGCGGGGGTCGGGGCGCCTGAAGGTGGCACAATGGTCAGAAACTACATTGATGATATCTGGTGACAGGTGACCAGAGTGGGCGCCGACACGAGACAGGTGACAGATGACCAGAGTGGGCGCCGACACGAGACAGGTGACAGGTGACCAGAGTGGGCGCCGACACGAGACAGGTGACAGGTGACCAGAGTGGGCGCCGACACGAGACAGGTGACAGGTGGCCAGAGTGGGCGCCGACACGAGACAGGTGACAGGAGTGGGCGCCGACACGAGACAGGTGACAGGTGACCAGAGTGGGCGCCGACACGAGACAGGTGACAGGTGGCCAGAGTGGGCGCCGACACGAGACAGGTGACAGGTGGCCAGAGTGGGCGCCGACACGAGACAGGTGACAGGTGACCAGAGTGGGCGCCGACACGAGACAGGTGACAGGTGACCAGAGTGGGCGCCGACACGAGACAGGTGACAGATGACCAGAGTGGGCGCCGACACGAGACAGGTGACAGGTGGCCAGAGTGGGCGTCGACACGAGACAGGTGACAGGTGACAGGAGTGGGCGCCGACACGAGACAGGTGACAGGTGACCAGAGTGGGCGCCGACACGAGACAGGTGACAGATGACCAGAGTGGGCGCCGACACGAGACAGGTGACAGGTGGCCAGAGTGGGCGCCGACACGGGACAGGTGACAGGTGGCCAGAGTGGGCGCCGACACAAGACAGGTGACAGGTGGCCAGAGTGGGCGCCGACACGAGACAGGTGACAGGAGTGGGCGCCGACACGAGACAGGTGACAGGTGACCAGAGTGGGCGCCGACACGAGAGAGGTGACAGGTGGCCAGAGTGGGCGCCGACACGAGACAGGTGACAGGTGGCCAGAGTGGGCGCCGACACGAGACAGGTGACAGGTGACCAGAGTGGGCGCCGACACGAGACAGGTGACTGGTGACCAGAGTGGGCGCCGACACGAGACAGGTGACAGGTGACCAGAGTGGACGCCGACACGAGACAGGTGACAGGTGACCAGAGTGGGCGCCGACACGAGACAGGTGACAGGTGACAGGAGTGGGCGCCGACACGAGACAGGTGACAGGAGTGGGCGCCGACACGAGACAGGTGACAGGTGACCAGAGTGGGCGCCGACACGAGACAGGTGACAGGTGACCAGAGTGGGCGCCGACACGAGACAGGTGTAACTGAATTCGAGGCGCGAGAGTTGTCGGGTGTCACCAGCCAAGATAAACATCAACATAACAGTTCCCGGTAAAGTAATACTTGAGTGACCTAGAGCTACTGTGTGTCCTGGTGGCATGTTTATAATATATTCAGAGAGATCTCAATAAGACGAATCCAATGATATCCCACACGCCCACAATGATATCCCACACGCCCACAATGATATCCCACACGCCCACAATGATATCTCACACGCCCACAATGATATCCCACACGCCCACAATGATATCCCACACGCCCACAATGATATCCCACACTCACACAATGATATCCCACACGCCCACAATGATATCCCACACGCCCACAATGATATCCCACACGCCCACAATGATATCCCACACGCCCACAATGATATCCCACACGCCCACAATGATATCCCACACGCCCACAATGATATCCCACACGCCCACAATGATATCCTACATGCCCACAATGATATCCCACACGCCCACAATGATATCCCACACGCCCACAATGATATCCCACACGCCCACAATGATATCCAACACGCCCACAATGATATCCCACACGCCCACAATGATATCCCACACGCCCACAATGATATCCTACATGCCCACAATGATATCCCACACGCCCACAATGATATCCCACACGCCCACAATGATATCCCACACGCCCACAATGATATCCTACATGCCCACAATGATATCCCACACGCCCACAATGATATCCCACACGCCCACAATGATATCCCACACGCCTACAATGATATCCCACACGCCCACAATGATATCCCACACGCCCACAATGATATCCTACATGCCCACAATTATATCCCACACGCCCACAATGATATCCCACACGCCCACAATGATATCCCACACGCCCACAATGATATCCCACACGCCCACAATGATATCCCACACGCCCACAATGATATCCTACACGGCTACAATGATATCCCACACGCCCACAATGATATCCCACACGCCCACAATGATATCCCACACGCCCCCAATGATATCCCACACGCCCACAATGATATCCCACACGCCCACAATGATATCCTACATGCCCACAATGATATCCCACACGCCCACAATGATATCCCACACGCCCACAATGATATCCCACACGGCTACAATGATATCCCACACGCCCACAATGATATCCCACACGCCCACAATGATATCCTACATGCCCACAATGATATCCCACACGCCCACAATGATATCCCACATGCCCACAATGATATCCCACATGCCCACAATGATATCCCACACGCCCACAACGATATCCTACACGCCCACATTAATTACCAGAATAATAAGTATCAGATAGCCCCGGACTACTAAGGATGTCGTTGAGGAAAATATGACCTAACCTAACCTACTCTACCCTAACCTAACCTACCCTACCCTAACCTAACCTAACCTAGCATAACCTAACCAAACTAACATAATTAAGTCAATAATTTATGTTCTTAATATAATCTATATAAATAAAAATGGAAATGTTCGTTTGGTCAAAATCGCTAATCTCCGAAAGTTCTTCACCGATTGCTTTGAAATTTTCACACAACGTTCCATTCGGATCCGAGCAGGGTTTTATATACATAATATATCGATATCACGTCTGTAACCTGAAAAAAACATGCTTCTTTTGAAAAACTGTTTTTCATGAGTTTTTCATGTGAGGGAAATCTTCGAAACCTCTTTACCGATTGCTTTGAAATTTTGACACACCGTTGCATTGGAATAGGCGAGCGTTTTTATATGCCTATTATATACATGCCTCACCTGTGACAGGAAAAAACATGTTTTTTTTTCGAAAAATCAAGATTTTCGCCATCTGATGGAAGTAGGAGAAACACACGCTTTAATCTCCGAAAGTTCTTCACCGATTGCTTTGAAATTTTGACACAACGTTCTATTCGAATACGTGCGTGTTTTTATATACCTACTATTTATTTATAATCGAGCTGTGTCGATTGATCTGCGCTTAAATTTAAATATTTCGTTAGTGTTTTTTCTTTTTGTTTTGAAAACAAGAAAATGGACAACACGTTTATTTCACAGCTGGAAATGTACAACAAACAGCCATGAATCCACCGGCTACAACGTTAACTGCTTTCTTCACGTTGTCAAAATGATGCGTTTGCAAAAACGCTGCTATATTCGGAAGTGCCTACGTATTACACATAGAAATGCCAGTAGAAAATGATTTGAATGACGCAAATAAGGAGAGCGAGTCGACGGACAACCTGGCATATTCAAATAAACTACGATAGGCAGACTGTACACGGTGCATCCCAATCAAGATGAATGCTTCCTTCTTCCCATGCTGTTGGTAAACGTTCCCGGTTCAACGTCTTTCCAGCCATTGAGATTTGTCAGCGGCGTAAAACATGCCACTTCACGTAGTGCATGTCAAGCTCTGAATTTATTGGAGAACGACCGACACTGGGATGTATGTAATGACGCGTCCAACACGTCACATCCAAATCAAATACGAGCATTGTTTGCAATCATATTGACCACCGGCTCTCCGTTATCTCCAACGGAGTTATGGGATAATTATAAATCGCACATGGCTGAAGATATTATCCGTCGAATTCGCAAAGAAAATTCAAATATGAACATGGATTTTACAGCAAAAATCTTCAACGAAGCGTTGATAATGATTGAAGACGTGTTTAGAAATCGTGAACAAAGTTCTCAATCAATTGGAAATGCCATCATTGAATCGATCCTGCTGCTTCTTCGTTCGATGTAGAATTGCGTCGTGAACAAAATTACAACATGAGTGATCTGTTGTCGTATGTTTAATCAAATATTCCTAGGCTAATGCTTGAGCGAAAATGCATTAACAATCAAATAATTCTGACTGTCATTAACGGGCTTAGAGAAATCTTTTTAGATGCGCGAGGAGGAACTGGTAAAACCTTCCTAATTAGATTGATTCTGGCAGCATTTCGATTCCAAAATGGCATAATCTTAGGCCCCACAATAAATCGTTCGAGGCTCTTGATCGATCATTGCAAGATTTGAGTTGAAACATCAGACCATTTGGGAACGCATTAATATTGCTTGCAGGAGATTTCAGGAAAACATTACCTTTAATTCCTCGGTCGACACCAGCCGACGAAATAAATGCTTGCCTGAAATACTCTACTTTGTGGCGCCACGTAGAGACATTTAAATTAACTACAAATATGCGTGTAGTTATGTAGCTACTGCAAAACGATCCATCAGCTGAGATATTCTCACATCAATTTCTAGAAATTGGGAACGTAAACGGGCCGGTTGATCTGACCTCAGGAAGAATTTCATTGTCTCATAACTTCTGCAATTTAGTGACGTCAAAAGAAGAATTTGTTGAAAAAGTATTTCCCAATATTGAAACCAATTATAAGAATCAAGATTGGCTAAGTGAACGAGCTGTTCTTGTTGCCAAGAAAAAAGTCTACGACCTCAACAATATTATTCAGTCTATCATTCAAAGCGAGGCAGTCACATACAAGTCCGTCGGCACTGTTGTGGAAGCAGATGAGGCGGTTAATTATCCAACAGAATTTTTTAATTCGATCTCCCAGGGATACCATCACACGAACGGCAATTGAAAATCGGCGTGCCAATTATCATGTTGCGAAATGACAACCAGCCAAAACTTTGCAACGCCACACGCCTTGTAGTTAAAAAATTAATCAGCGACGTCATAGAAGCAACAATCTGACAGCACCTTTCAGAGGGAAAGATGTCCTCATTCCTCGCATTCCTATGATTCCAACAGATATGTCATTTCAATTTAGGAGACTGTAATTTCCAATTCGATTGGGGGTTTGCAATCACCATCTACAAAGCTCAGGGACAATCTTTAGAATTGTGCAGTTTATATATAGACACGGAATACTTCTCACGTGGACCATTATATGTTCAGTGCTCTAGAGTCGGCAAACCAGACAATCTCTATATCTCACCAGACAGTGGAATGCGAACAAGCCTGAATGGTCCCCAGGACATATGCAACTGAAAACTCACACCCCAGAAGTGACTCGAACCCATACTCCCAGAAGCAACGCAACTGGTATGTACAAGACGCCTTAATCCACTTGACCATCACGACCGGACATAATGAGGTGATAGCCGAGGCTATATGAACCACCCCACCGCCGGCACTCGGATAGTTATCTTGGGCATAGCATTTTACCAAATCACCTCATTCTTTGGGGCACACGTGAGGAACACAAATGCGAACAAGCCTGAATGGTCCCCAGGACATATGCAACTGAAAACTCACACCCCAGAAGTGACTCGAACCCATACTCCCAGAAGCAACGCAACTGGTATGTACAAGACGCCTTAATCCACTTGACCATCACGACCGGACATAATGAGGTGATAGCCGAGGCTATATGAACCACCCCACCGCCGGCACTCGGATAGTTATCTTGGGCATAGCATTTTACCAAATCACCTCATTCTTTGGGGCACACGTGAGGAACACAAATGCGAACAAGCCTGAATGGTCCCCAGGACATATGCAACTGAAAACTCACACCCCAGAAGTGACTCGAACCCATACTCCCAGAAGCAACGCAACTGGTATGTACAAGACGCCTTAATCCACTTGACCATCACGACCGGACATAATGAGGTGATAGCCGAGGCTATATGAACCACCCCACCGCCGGCACTCGGATAGTTATCTTGGGCATAGCATTTTACCAAATCACCTCATTCTTTGGGGCACACGTGAGGAACACAAATGCGAACAAGCCTGAATGGTCCCCAGGACATATGCAACTGAAAACTCACACCCCAGAAGTGACTCGAACCCATACTCCCAGAAGCAACGCAACTGGTATGTACAAGACGCCTTAATCCACTTGACCATCACGACCGGACATAATGAGGTGATAGCCGAGGCTATATGAACCACCCCACCGCCGGCACTCGGATAGTTATCTTGGGCATAGCATTTTACCAAATCACCTCATTCTTTGGGGCACACGTGAGGAACACAAATGCGAACAAGCCTGAATGGTCCCCAGGACATATGCAACTGAAAACTCACACCCCAGAAGTGACTCGAACCCATACTCCCAGAAGCAACGCAACTGGTATGTACAAGACGCCTTAATCCACTTGACCATCACGACCGGACATAATGAGGTGATAGCCGAGGCTATATGAACCACCCCACCGCCGGCACTCGGATAGTTATCTTGGGCATAGCATTTTACCAAATCACCTCATTCTTTGGGGCACACGTGAGGAACACAAATGCGAACAAGCCTGAATGGTCCCCAGGACATATGCAACTGAAAACTCACACCCCAGAAGTGACTCGAACCCATACTCCCAGAAGCAACGCAACTGGTATGTACAAGACGCCTTAATCCACTTGACCATCACGACCGGACATAATGAGGTGATAGCCGAGGCTATATGAACCACCCCACCGCCGGCACTCGGATAGTTATCTTGGGCATAGCATTTTACCAAATCACCTCATTCTTTGGGGCACACGTGAGGAACACAAATGCGAACAAGCCTGAATGGTCCCCAGGACATATGCAACTGAAAACTCACACCCCAGAAGTGACTCGAACCCATACTCCCAGAAGCAACGCAACTGGTATGTACAAGACGCCTTAATCCACTTGACCATCACGACCGGACATAATGAGGTGATAGCCGAGGCTATATGAACCACCCCACCGCCGGCACTCGGATAGTTATCTTGGGCATAGCATTTTACCAAATCACCTCATTCTTTGGGGCACACGTGAGGAACACAAATGCGAACAAGCCTGAATGGTCCCCAGGACATATGCAACTGAAAACTCACACCCCAGAAGTGACTCGAACCCATACTCCCAGAAGCAACGCAACTGGTATGTACAAGACGCCTTAATCCACTTGACCATCACGACCGGACATAATGAGGTGATAGCCGAGGCTATATGAACCACCCCACCGCCGGCACTCGGATAGTTATCTTGGGCATAGCATTTTACCAAATCACCTCATTCTTTGGGGCACACGTGAGGAACACAAATGCGAACAAGCCTGAATGGTCCCCAGGACATATGCAACTGAAAACTCACACCCCAGAAGTGACTCGAACCCATACTCCCAGAAGCAACGCAACTGGTATGTACAAGACGCCTTAATCCACTTGACCATCACGACCGGACATAATGAGGTGATAGCCGAGGCTATATGAACCACCCCACCGCCGGCACTCGGATAGTTATCTTGGGCATAGCATTTTACCAAATCACCTCATTCTTTGGGGCACACGTGAGGAACACAAATGCGAACAAGCCTGAATGGTCCCCAGGACATAT